ATGTGTCTTTTGCGATGGTTAGCCAATTTTGAAGAAAGTGGGCGAGACATATCTGTACAGACGTGTCTAAGTCAAAGGTATTGTTTTGTTTTTCTAGCAGTCGGACAGTAAGACGTGCACCACTGCGAAGAAGCCTGAGGATGGAAGGATGTTGCAGTTGATGAAGTTTGGGAAGATTTCGGAGTCCCTTGTTGCCTGAAAGATCAGTAAGTTTGAGAGGATGATGGTTGATATTGCTGTTGACCATAGGGCTTGCACCACTGATACTTTTGATACTTGGGTTGTTGTTGGATGGTGTAAGATTTTGTGGTTTTCTTAATCTTGTGTAGATTTTTCATTTTGTCATTGGTCTTCTCATTGAAAAGTCTGGTGACATCAAAAGGAAGGTCCTCGATGTGCGATTTGGCCTCCTCAGTGATACCGGAAGACCGCAACCATGCGTGTTTCCGTAAACCAATAGCTGACACCATGGATTTCTAGGCCAAGTCTGCAGAATGTCTTGAGGCTAAACGCTGATGTTTGGCCACTGTGAGGGCCTCAGAGTAGGTATTGAGAAAGGATGCTTTAGTATCATCTGGAGCTGCTTCCAGAGCAGGAAGCACCCAAGTCCAAAGTTGTTTTTGGTAAGCCCCCATTGCTGCTTGATAATTTGCCACCCTGGGTAGAAAGGTGGCAAACGAGTATAATTTCCGGCCAAGGACATCCAGTTTATGCTTTGGCCTCCTCAGTGATACCGGAAGACCGGCCAAGGACATCCAGTTTATGTCCCTCTCTGTTTGTAGGCATTACCTTGGCTTTACCTGCTGACTTTGAAATGTTGGACTGGACTATGATAGAGTTGGGGGCAGGATGCTTTAGGAGAAATTCAGCCTCTTCACCATGCGTCCAATAGTGGTTCTCGATCCTACAGGTAACTTGTGTCGAGGCAGGAAGTAAAGACCATGATTCCTTGACTAATTCCATGAGTGCTGGAATAAAGGCTAAACTCAATGGAGCAACTTGATCTTGTAGAATGTCTCCAAAGACCAAATCCTCTTTGGGCTGAGGAGGTTCTTTCGCTTCTAACTTAAGAGATTTAGCCTTCCTGGCAACCATCTGAGCATATGAGGAGTGTGACAACCCCAGACCTACTGGGATATGCCACAGTTTCACTAAGCTGCCACCAACCATTCCCTATAAGAAGTCACACAGACCAGGGATGGATTTTTAACTAACAAAGGAATAAGGTTTATTTAAATAACACACAGGGAAAATAAAATGATCAAGTGAATAAGATACAGTAACGTGGCTTAGTCTCAATCATACATACACCAGTTTGGTTCACACAGAACACCTTTAAATAAAGCACAGACCCTGAACCTATCAGTTCTGGCTAACCATACAGACACCTGAACCTATCAGGTAGGTACTGACTGACACACAGTAGTACCCTGTCTGACACACAGACTCCCACACCAGCTTCTTCTCTCAGCTCTCCTCCAGCTTCTCCTAACTTCTCCACACCAACTCCACATATATATACAGTACAGCCCCTCCTCCTGATGTCCCGCCTTCCACTCCCCATAGGATGGAACTTTCCCTCCAAACCCATGACAGACAGGTAACATCAGTGCTGTATGTAACAAGGAGAAGTCCTCTGAACGGTATGATGGATGTGGATCCCCGGCATCAGATTCTGGCGTCCTGCCATCTACAGGTATCACTTCAGAGTCCTCCGAAAAGAATTCCTCTTTCTGGTCAGATGGTAGAGGTGAAAGTGGTTCATCTTGTTCAGATGGGGGAAGAGACGGGGGTGCTCGACCCGTTTTCTGTCTGGACCAGAATTTTGGTGGGTTGTTGTGAGGTTTGCGGAGCATCCTTCTGTTTTGTAGTCTGTGATGGCAGAGTAGAAGTCTTGTTAAGGTATCTATCAATCTTTTTGTCGACATAGCGACGTTTGGACCAATGGTAGACCACTGTTTCAGGATCGGGGGAATGTCGCCATCGATGCCTTGGTGGCGAAGCAGACAAAGACGACAATGTTGAAGCATAGACATAGCAAATCTTTCTATGTCTGTGATCCACTCCATTGTCAGAAAGAGAATCTGACGAGTAGTCCTCTTCTCGACGTCAACAGCGAGAACGTTTTCGTTCAACCGTAACATAAATAACGTCATCGGTTGAGGACTTCAAACGACGCTGAGAACGTGACAGAATCACCACCTCTCGATGAGAATGTCAACACCGATCGGGAGAAATATGTTTCCTTTTCAACGTCTTCTTACAGGGTGGAGAGTCCTGCCCCAATGAGATCGAAGGTGATGGCCAATTACTTAACTTCCGCCCGGTACGAGCAGGGCTGTAATGGGTAGAAGCCGTGCTAGATTGGATGACTTTTATATTTGTTCATATTGTTGTATTTTATTTGTAAGCCATCCCGAGTAGGGGTGGGGTAGAAATCGGATAAATAAACAAACAAACAAACAAACAAACAAACAAATAAATAAAATAGGTGAAGGCAAGCGGCTCGGCATGGAGATAGATGCCAATGCCTGTCGATGCGGTAGAGGTTCACCAGTCTTGGAGGGAGAATCACGGTCCCGAGATGAATCTTCCAAAATAGGCGATGGGAGTGAGGCGGAGACAGGAGGGATGTCTCGGTGCCTATCTTTTTTAGCCAACTGTTTGTCGGTCTTGTCCTTAGCCTGTGATTTTTTCTTTTTCAGGTTGTCCTTTTGGGAGCCAGATGATGCTGAGGTAAGTGACTTCTTAACACATGAAGGGGCTGACTTTTTAGAAGGTTTTCCGGCCGTTTTCGACTCCTGAACAGGCGGCGTAGAGGCAGCCACCTCCTCAGGACGGGGAGTATCGGAAGGGTTTGAGGCAGTTTTCACAGCGTCAGGTTTCGACGCTGATAGTGTCTTGTGCCACAAAAACAACTTAAACCTCTGTTGTCTAGCTTTGAGGGCAGGCTTGGTTAAGTTCTTACAGTGCCTGCAAGAATGGGGTTGATGACCCTCCCCCAGGCAAAAAGGTAGCGCTTGTGACTGTTGGAAAAGGGAAGTTTGTGGGTACACGAGGCACACCTTCTGAAGGGGCCCGAAGGGGACATAAAGTAGAAAAATAGAAGAAAAAGCTCAGTAACTCACAGAACCGGGTACAGAAACGAAGAAGGTCGTAGTCAGAAATAAGGCACAGTCCGTGATCCAAGAATGAAAATCTTAACAGTCCATGATCGAAAGCAGTGAGGCAATCCGAGAAAGAGTGGGAGAAGTTAGTAGCCGGGAAATAAGGCACAGTCCGCAATCCAAGAAGCAAAACTATAAACAGTCCGTGATCGAAGGAAGTGAGGCAAGCCAATTAAAGAGTGGGAAGTCCAACAGAAAAATCAACAGTCCAGCTCAAAGCCGAGCGGTAACAACAGTAGAGGGATGAAGCAAAAAATCACAGTCAGACAAGACGTATTCAGAAGAACAAATTCCAAAAAGACCGAATAGTGAAGTTCTAGTGCGAGAAGTTCCTATCACCAAGGCAGTAAAAATGGAACTGAGAGTTGAGGCGGCCGGAGCATGCGCTGTAGGGGTAACTTGCAACTAATTTTCTTTCTAAAAGCTCTAGAAGAATCCGAGGAGTCCTGCGCAGGTGCAGTTTAACCCACTTGTGTGCATTCACAGAGGCCACGAAGAAGAATGAACTAAACTAGAGAATGCTAGCTGGCTAATATAGAGACATATTTGAGCAGGAAGGGAGAAATGGAGGGTATCTAATTTTCATGATATATACTGCATTTACCAGAAATAGGGACAAAGGTAGCCATCTCCTTACTGGGGAGGTAATTAAGGTCAATGCATCTCTTTTTTGTATTCCACAAAAATAAACAGGTGCTATTCATTCCCACAAACAAATTACAGAGAATTCTACATGAAAAGAGCATTGTACTTGCGCAAAATCTGACCACAACCAAAACCAGATCATCCTTGACACTGGTTCTCATCTCTTCCAGCTCCAGATATAGACAAGCCCCGCCCCCACTCCCTAAATCATCTCTGTGAGATTTGCTTTTTTGTTTTTAATAAAGCATGATTAACATTTCTTAGTTAATCTAACCTAAGAATAATCAAATGCTGGTATCAGTTCTTCTTCTAGCCATTTATGAAACATATATTTTTAATCATTGTTGTCTGATGGCTATGACAAGACATGCAAATTAAAGCAGAAGTAACAGATGTAACACCATAAATATGATTCAGTAACATTACTAAATCTAAAATGGAAAATAATTATTACTGCAAACAGTACATTTTTGCATAGTTTTTTCTATTACAATAAAACATTTACTTTTATATCTGATATTCCTTTTGTTCAGTTGTTAATTTTAAAAGAACCTTTTTTCAAAGAAAGATTATTCATGATTACATTTATTTGGAAAAGTCGAATGCAGCAAATTGAACAATCCTCAGCAATATTTTCAGAAAAATGAATCTGCAAGTTTATAATTATCAAATTAAAAATATAAAACCATAATTTGAATACTCTAAGCCTGAATAGTAAAAATATCCCATTTCTATGCATATACATTCACTGTCTTGCCATGGCCTAATGGAGCTTACTGTACATTGATCTACTTCCACAGGAAACAAAGCATACATTACATTAATTGTATGTATGCAAGTAATGTGAACAGTTCTTAAAAGTTTAAATTACATAATTGGAGACATGTTTCGGACTTTAATTGTGGGAGAGTCAGGTTCAAAATCCAAATATGCATGTAACTCACTGTGTGGTGTTAACAAACAGTATGTCTTAAACTAACCCAGGATGTATGCTGCTTTTCACAAGAACCCCAGAGGTCCAATAAGGAGAGCTATTCTAATTGGAGACATGTATCCAATTAGGATAAGGGCAATATGTGGAGAATGAATTCTTTTCTCTTGTGTTCAGGTAACAACAAAATGTACTCCACTCCCCATCTCCTTCTGATGATCCATCTGTACACTGAGGGAAGGAACATTTAACATTACCTGGACTGTTGTCTCTGGCTGTCATCTGCATAAGAAGGGCCATTTGTTTGCGTTCTGATAGTGGGTAACCAAAAAGAATGCTAACAGGTGCAGTTTTCTTACTTCCAGTTTCTTTTTTCATTTTCTTCTTCTCTGGAACTTCTTTCTCTGAAAATACCCATATATTTGTAAGAATAGCAAAATATTGTAAATTATAATAAATACCAAATAAGAGAGAGATGTATACAAATACTGTATAAAAGTTTCACTCTCTGAATTACCAAATGAGTTCTTTCCAGGCAGAAAGATCAAAACATCATATTTCAGCTCAAAATATTTTGTTCACCAGAAGCAAGTCAGTGTGATACAGGGGATAATATCTTGAACTTTTTTAATCATGGGAGAGTCAGAATTTGAATATGCAGTGTAATTCACTGTGTGGTGTCAACGAACTAGTATATCTTGGATTAAGCCAGGATGTATGATGCTTTTCACAAGAACCCTGAGGTTCAATAAGGAGGTAAAGGTAAAGGTTCCCCTTGACAATTTTTGTCCAGTCGTGTTCCACTCTAGGGGGCAGTGCTCATCCCCGTTTCCAAGCCATAGAGCCAATCTTCCGTGGTCACATGGCCAGTGCGACTTAGACACGGAACGCTGTTACCTTCCCACCGAGGTGGTCCCTATTTATCTACTTGCATTAGAATGCTTTCGAACCGCTAGGTTGGCGGGAGCTGGGACAAGCAATGGGAGTTCACTCTGTCGCGTGGATTCGATTTTACGACTGCTGGTCTTCTGACCCTGCAGCACAGGCTTCTGCGGTTTAGCCCGCAGCGCCACCATGTCCCCTCAATAAGGAGAGTCAGGCACAAATATCAGCTCAGGAAGGGTGTGTGTGTGTCATAAAACTGTGGAATAAGTATTTCTGAGCACATCTCAAATAAATTATTAAGGAATTGGAATATGCAAATAAAATCATTCCCTATGATAACATCATCTCTGTGTCAGATCCACATCAATACTGAACTCTTACAGGGTAGAATAATATGAAGTGTGATATATGGATTATTGTGTTTTTTTCATGGCCGCCTTCGTCCCTGAAATTATTGTGTAGTTTCAAAGAGAAACATGTATCCACTAAATTGCACACCTATTTGAAACCGTTCTGGCCCAACCATGTGCATATCTGCTCAGATATATGTTCTATCAAGTTCAGAGAGATTAATACTCCCAGGTAAGTGTGTACAAGATTATACTCTGAGGCGCCAATTGTTATTCTTCAAAGTCAGTTGTTCCTAAAAGTGTTCACCTGAGAAGAGGTGCAACCTACAGAACACATACATAGTCAAGAGAACTGCTGCAGACGGGAAGCCACACTTGCTAGTCAAAATATAATACTGTACTTAGGGATGAACGTCACTCAGCTAATGGTTCCCCAGCATTTTTCTGCATTCATTTCAGCCAGCCATTTCTGTCACTGCCAGATAACTTCCCAAATCCTGCCACCTTCAGCAGTTTCCTCCAAGCCTTGATGGCTACACTAAGAAATCATGAAGACTCCCCACAATATTTGCTTCCACAAATAGTTACCAAAAAAAGTAGTAGTACACACAATTGGATATGTGATTTCAGTATAACATACAAGTCAATTATGATACATCTCAGATTATACAGGCAATTGTGTTTTGTAAAAAGTTTGCACTGAAAGGTTACTAAAATTAACTTTTAAAAATGGTTCTTGCAAATATCGGTTATATTAGATTAACAGCTAAATCAAAGTATTTTTCACATTTGTTTCTGTCGTCTTTCTGAAATAATTTTGCTAGGGTTTCCAATATAGCACTCCTCCATCTACTTCTGCAAGAACAGTCTGTCATTTTATATTCCTCATTACTTATTTTTCTCTATAGGGAATTTCCCCCAAATATCCACATTGCACAATGTACACTTCTACCGTGTTTTCCCGAAAATAAGACATTAAAAATATTAAATTTTGCTCCAAAAATTAATTAGGGCTTTTTTTCAGGTGGTGTTTTATTTTTTTCATGTACGACAATCCACATTTATTCAAATACAGTGATGTCATCTTCTTCTCGTTGCTGCACAATGGTGGAGGGCAGGGTTTCACTTAACTTATTTTGGGGGTAGGACTTATATTACGAGCATCCTGCAAAATCATACTATGGCTTATTTTCAGGTTAGGGCTTATTTTCAGGGAAACAGGGTACTCTTCTGTGTAAACTATGAATTTGAAATAATTTGTAGAGAAAAAGCAGATTGCTTTACTGAATGCTGTTCACACTCTGCTTTTGAAGTTTACAAACTTAAACTTGTTTGGCATGATTTGTTTTTTTTTGTCAACTATCATTTTCTAAGAAAAATATCTGGTTTCTATATTGAACTGCTGTTTTAAAAGGCTGCTAAGCACTTGCATTACCCAAATGTGATTATTCAAACTTATTTTCACACACTTGCTGAAAATAAATTCAACACTAGATGAATAAGAAACAATTTGAAAGCGGTCTTGCAAATACTGTAGTTCTAACCCCTAGAGCCACCAGCTGTAAGGGATAAGAAGGCCACCCACCCCACCAGTAAACAAGATCTATGCCAGTGTGGGTAGGCTCCCTCATTTTTGGCATCCCAGTTCTGCCCATGGAAAGCTATGATGACAGGTACACATACTGTAAATAGCAAAACACCTTATTCTTAGACTAAAGCAAGTTAGGAATAGGCTGGAGACAGATAGTGGATCCATAAGACCAAAAGATGGCCATTGCTCCAAGATCAGCTCTTCAGCTACACCACCTTGATGTGGATATAGCTAAGCCACCCTATTCCTTCCAAAGGGAAAGTTCATTTTTAAAAAATGTCATGCTTAATTCCATGATAAACTCTTTTCTGGTCAATGTGAGTCAGCAGCGCTCTGGATGAGGAAGTAAATGTATGTCATAGCAACTGTCTTAACCTACAATAGAGCTGCTCCACTAGGCATCATGTAGCAGATGGTAAGACTGAACATCAATATACATAAGTAAATCACTGTGTTGTACCTGCTGTGCATTACTATTTCTGTTTGATCTATATATGTCTTAAACAAATACAGAAAACATGTTATTTAGCAAATAAATTATTTGACAATGCATTAACTGCTAGCTTCCACCACATATATTAAAAGCACTGATTGGAACTGACAGATATTCCTGGACAATGTGTACATGGTAAACCTGTACTTTGGGTTCCCCAATGAAAGGTCACATTCATTATATTAAAATAAAAATAGCTTGCAAGCAATTTACTGGCACAGAAAAACAACTACTATAACTACTTATAATGACATTGATAGGAAAAATGCAACTATAGTAAGAACACCTGATAATCCATTTACCTGAATATGTTCTGTAAGTAGATATTAATCTCTCCCCCCAGCTTTCATTTGTATGTCCTGGATCTGAATCTACAGAATGAAGAAGACATGGGAGAAAAGGGGTGGAGGAGAGCAATAGGAAGGAAGTGTGGCACACAAGACAGAAATACTGACAAATAAAATTTTATTTATTTCCTAACATCTGTATATGCGTTTTTCAGTGCTTTTAAATAAATACCTACTGAAACTCTAGAATAGTATTTCCTGGGGATTAATGATTTAGGTGGGTGATTTCACACAAAAATACAGCATAAGAATTGTGAAGAACACATTCACTATGCAATCTATCTATCTCATTGCATTTATTGCTCTGTGTCACAGTTGCTTTACATGAAAGCTGAAATTTCATTAGCAAACAAATCTTTCCTTGTTTGCATCTGAACAAATATTTTGTGATATCTATTGGATCATTTGATGTCTACTTCTGTTTCATTTCAAGACCCCTTTTTCCTTATATTTTCATCTAACATTGAATGTATTCATAGAAAACTATTTGCATAAATGAATAATTCTACCAAGACACACTGCACAGGAATGCCTAAATGTATTTACACATATTTAGCATTGCTTTAATTTAAAAATATCTCAATTAACAAGCAATATAAGGACAATGGAGAAACGCCAAAGTACTATTGGTTGCTGTGGGTTTTCGGGCTCTTTGGCCGTGTTCTGAAGGTTGTTCTTCCTAACGTTTTGCCAGTCTCTGTGGCCGGTATCTTCACTCCTGTCCTCTGAAGATGCTGGCCACAGAGACTGGCGAAACGTTAGGAAGAATAACCTTCAGAACACGGCCAAAGAGCCCGAAAAATCCACAGCAACCATTGGATCCCGGCCATGAAAGCCTTCACAAATACATTAAAAGTACTATGTCAGAGAAGCTTAAGACTGTACTATGTTATGAATTGTAGTCCAAATGATGTTATTCAGACTTCTAACATGTTTCATCAGAGAAAAATATTATATCCCAAGATCCATAAGATTATTTTTGCTTGCTTTCCTTTAAAAGTACAATTCAAGCTGAAATCTCAGCCTACTGAAGGGACCTATTAATGGGACTAATTCAGGTAGCGTAAAATGTTTTCTGACCTATAACATAAAAAATCATAATTTTATTGTGAACAGAATGAAAATTGGAGCCTCATCTCAGGACATAATGGTTGGAGCTCTGAGAAGGAGCTCACCGATGAATGCAGTACTGCAGTTGAGTAAATGCATAATGGGACAGTAATCATCTCTCAGTTTATCTATGTCATATGGTTGTTGGAAATAAAATAAAATGGGGGGAAAACCTCATACATACTAACCTAAATGTGTTAGAAAGGTGAAATGCAAATTTCATGTCATATAAACAAAATGTTTCAAACAACTAGAAAGCTTTTCCATATTCACTCTTAAGTGAGTACCCTGGAAGATTGGACATAAGGTGGATTGATTAAATAAAGGAAATCATAATCTTGCAAGACTTGAACAGGACTGATAATGACAATGTTAGGATTATTTTGGAAAGCACTAATTTCATAGGATTGCTGTATGTCAGAAGTGACTGCAAGGCACATAACAATAACATTAACTATTCTTCTACAAGAGGAAATATTCCATAGTTCAGCATTTTTAACTACACTACATGAGAGCATTTCTTCTCATCCACAAGATTACTTCTCAGACAAGATTACTTCATTGGCAACAATACTGGGGCTTTTTAAAAAAAATCCCAGCAGTGTGTGTTTGCAGATATGTGGGGAAGTTTTAAACTCCCATAGTGGTATGTAATGATCCTGTTTTGGACTACAATCCTTCTTGCATATTTGTAGAGGTTTGAAAATTAAGAAGGCTCAGCTGCGTGCAACATATTTAACACAGTATGTGTTCAAACATCAGCACTGGTTTTGGTACAAAAACTCCACTGACCTGATACAAACCCAGAGTTTTGAAAGTGTGCAAAGCACTTCAGAACCATAGCAGTAAGATATTTTTTAACGAAGAACAAATCATGCCAAACTAACCTAACAGCTTCTTTTGGAAGCATAAGAGGAAATGTATTCAATATATTGATATATGTCACCTAATTAGTAAACAAAACATTCAGTTCTATGTATAATATGGGAAACTAGTAGAGGAATATATAGGTATAATTTAAAAGAAGCAGTTCCACCATTGTACAGTTTTTGCTACAAAAAAAGACTGGTCATAGTTTGCTCAGAAATTTAATGCATATTTGTTTGTGGTCCTATATTGTTTTATTACCTATAATTGCCCTAATACACTGACTTCTACCCTAGTTTGAAAACAGTGTTTGGAAAAGTCATTGGTCTGCTACTGTATTCTGCTTCTTGTCTGGTACATGTCTGAATGACTACGAAAAAGAGCTCTGACCATGGGGAGAAATCAAATACATAATATTGAATATTTCTGGCAGCTAAGGACAAAGCAGTAGAAGCAGGATGTATCAGTTGAACTGACTGGAGGTCAAACGTTTGCTGACTAGCCTCCATTCTAGTCCCTCCCCTAGTCAACATTAACTTGGGCATCCAATGAGCAAACTGGCTTGAAGGTACTGCTTTTTGTTAAAAGACAGGTTTATGTCTTGGTAAATATTAGCCACAAAATCTTCTAATGGGAGCCTGACTGAAATAATCCTGAACTGGCATCTGCTGCAAAACCCTGGGCAGATGGACTGAGAATAACACTTCCAGCTATGTCTGCTGTTTTTCAATGCAACAACTGCAGAATAGATCTGATAGGTAAGTGACTAGTCTACTTACTCTTTGGCAGAGAGAGAGGGCTGAACATTTTGTCAAACAACTGTCCAGTTTTTGTTTAACATGCAAGACAGTTCAGGGGTCCTATTACTGTTCCACCTCTGCACTATGACAGTTCAGGGATCCTATTACTGTTCCACCTCTGCAAACATACCTAGTGTTCAGTTATTTATTCTAATTATAAAATGTATGACCCCCTTTGATTAGAACTTGATCATCATCACATTACAGCAGAATCCTGGGAGATTATGGAGAGAGAGAGAGAGAGAGAGAGAAAATAGAAAACTACAGAACCAGCCACAACCTCGTAACGACCAGATAGGCAGGATATAAATAAAATAAATAAATAAATAAACCTCATTAAAATGGTTTTTGAAAAATCATATTTATTTATTTATTTATTTGATTTGCTGTATTTGCTGGCGCACAAGGCGGCCGGCTGTATAAGACGACCCCCCCAACAGGAAGAGGAGGAGGAAGAGGGGAAACGGGCGGGTGGCGGGCGGGCGAGCGAGCGGCTGGCTCAGCAGCGTGGGGTGGCGGGCAGCCTGGCAGCCGTTCAGGCAAGGCAGCG